AATATAAAATAGCGAGTGACTAAGTTAACGGTTCCCGGTTCCCACTCCGGTTCTACCCGCTTTTTTTTCACGGTTCCGGGTAAGAGAAACAGAAAAATCCGGTCCTCGGTTCGGTTCTCGGTTCCAATTTTTTTTTAACCGCAGGGCACTATTCGTGTAACTCGTCAGAGTCGATTCAGGGAAGAAAAGTTACTATTGCCTTACCAGTTACTGACTAACAGAAAACTCGTGGATTTGATTTTCTTATAAGAGAGTAACTATTGAAAGGAAAATCACAATCTTTCACAAAATTTCATGAAAGATTTGTATTGTTAAGGAATTCGAATCTATAATCAATTTCTTAGAATTACGTACTACCGTTTTTCACTCAAGAAATACTTTTCTTCAGAAAACAGGGATTTCTTATAAAATTTGATGAAACGTTTTTGGGGTCGAATAATCAACTATAGAGTTTTTGAGAAACTGATTACAGATTTAGATTTCTCGACTTTGAAAATTTTCGATGAAAATTTAAAGTAAATCATGATTTCCCTTCAACACTTATTTCTTGACAAAAACAATTAAATCCATGACTTTTTCGTTACCCATTACCCGATAACTGGCTATAGATCCGTTAGCACCTATTTGATAACCCAGATCAAAGTCGTCCTATAGGATCCTACCGGATTATATAGGAATTCTTGGTACAGGATTTCGACAGTCAGATACTATTGGATTACTAGGACATTCCTGCACTTGCCAACTAGCGGAATCCTGTACCAAGAGAATCATAGGATTCGACAATTGGATTGATTGCCCTGGGAAGTTGTGTCTTCTGGTTGAAGACTTGATGTGGGCAGATCCGTTTCTCTGAAATTAGCAAAAATTTGCTAATCAGCACTAACTAGGAATTTTCAGCGTGATAGGATGCCACACTATGGTTCAAATGATGGGCATCGGATAAAACTCATCGAGATCTGCTTGGAGTGTTGTATCTCCTTGTTGAAGAATTGATCTAGGCGAATCGCGACGAATTTTATGAAAATTTTGCTAATTTTTATGGTTTTTCTTGCGATATTTTCAGGTTTTGGGCTGCATAAAAGATGCTTTAGCGAAGAAAAAGGTATGCATCTGATAGAGCTCATCAAGTTCTAGTTGGAGGCCTGACTGTCCTTGTTGGAGACTAGTTCTGAGCGAATCCATTCAGGAAATACTTGAATCTTGGCCTAAGATATTCTGCGTAACGTTTTACTTGAATGGTTCCCTAAAATCTATACTAAAGTTGTTCTTGTCACATGGATAAGAATACGTCTATAGCTCGAATCAGTCAGTTTGATCTAATCGTTCAAATAAAAGAAAATAGTTTTCCGTAACAAAATTATGTATTTTCATGACTGATTCATTTTACTTATTTTCAAGAGTCATAGACAAAATATTCAAAGTTTTTTTTCTACTCTTCTATGAGTAGCGACCAACAAATTTAAAAGAAAATTAAAAAAAGTCTGTGATGCTATTTGTCGTATATTTGTCAGATGAGACTACCATATAATCATCGAAAATTAGTTGCTTTTATAGGTATAAATGTCGAAGGATTTCTATTGAATAAAACAAATTATGTTTCTCATTGAATTTGATTTATTTTGTTGTTATAAGGATAGAGAATATTTCTTGTCCAATGTAATATAATATTCTAGCTGTCATTTATCTCTCCAAGAAAATTGATTGATTATCATTCGAGAGACTGTTTTTTCTTTTCGACTAACATTTAGACTCCAAACAGACTGAAAAGAATAAAATGAATTAAGCGATGTGATTGATCTATTCCAATTTAAATAATCTTTTCTAAGACGATTTATTCGTTAATTCAGTTTAAAATCACTGAAACAAATATTCGCCTAATATGCAGGAGCTAGGCAACTCGATTTCATCATCTTCATCTGATGGTAATTCACCACTGTCAAGTTTAATTAGCAACTTTGAATTCTCTTCATCGCCTAGCTCCGTTCTCATATTTCTAAAAATATATGAGCATATTATTTGATATTTGGTATTTTTTTATTTTATTTAAATTTGTTGAGATGATAATTCGATTTGTTTTTTTATTATCAAATATTTTACTCATTGATTTAACATTTTCAACAATGAATAATAAAAAAGTTCTTCAATGTCTTATACAAGTCGTGGACAACTAGATGAAATATTGCAACGCTTAACTAGACAATGTAAACAAAAAGATTTATTTGAAAAATATTTATCAACAATATCAGCAAAAACTGATACTTCATCTCAATAACAAGGAAAACAATTAGTTGAAATTGATATCATTAATTATGTACGTCGATGTGTATCATATATATGTTATAAAGATATTTATGAAAAAGATCCACTTGGAGATGTAGATATTGACGTTAGATCCAATCAGTTTAAATCATGTTGAATTAGAGAAGAAAAAGAATGCAATGAGTTTATTTCTTTGAGATTAAAATGATTTATAGGTCACAAAATATAACGATTAAATTTAGCTGTAAGAAGTGTTTTTTTTAGCCACGACATGAAAAAGAAAGCTGGGTTTAAATAAAATCGCAACATTTAGAGTCCAAATTTTCATTGTCCTGCAAGTTTTATTCAACATCATTTGTATGCTCTTCATTATCAAGGCTTTTTGATTTTTTTTTCTTAATAAACCTGAACGAAGACAACGATTGATATGATCATTAGCTTCTTTTGTAGACATTTTCAATAAAACCACTTGTAATTTTGCAGAATCTCGTGCATTTAAACATTCTTTTAATTCCTAAATAGAATGAAAAGTAAAGGAAGCACTTATCAGTAATGTATACTTCTGGTAAAGATTCCATAACAATCTTTGGATCTAATCTACCAGCAACCGAGCTTTTTTTTTCTGTCTCCTAAAAAGATATTGTTTCGTAAGTTTTCTAATAAAACAAATTTACCTTTTCCTCAATAATCTTATTGATTTTTATTGCACGATCTTTGATATCATTTTGAAATTTTTGAAGATCTTCATTAAATTGTCGTCGATATGATTCATTTGAGCAAAGTCTAAATAGAATTTTTATTTTTTCTATTCACAAGTAGTTTTTCTTACCGATGAAAAAACAACTCAATACATGTATTTGGATCATTTGTTGTAGTATATTCATCAAACGAACTATATATGTCATCAGCATAGTTTGTCGTGCGACATTTTCCATCGAAAGATATTCCTAAAGAATTTTTATTTTTTATAATAAATTTTAAATTAAACTGAGACGAATTTACGTCCTGGATTTCTTCGTCAATACATAGCTGAGTCATGGATAAGATTGTTTCTTCAGTAATTAAACGAATATTGTTCATTAACAATTCTTTAGAAGTCTTATCATCCTTAATAATTTCACTAAAACTTTTGAAGAAAGGTTGTGGACCAATATTCATCTGTTTAACTTCTTGATTACGATCGTTGACTAAGAAAAGAAGTTTATTTTTATCAAACCAAGTGGTATTATGTTTACCCAAATTTTTAAAATGTATTTTATAACTTCTATCGACTTCATCATTAATAAAATTACCAATATCTCGATCTATTTCAATATACCCTCTGGTGAAAAATCAAGATTGTATTGATTAATATTCTCGAACAGAGATGAACAAAAGTGCACCGCGCCTTCCCGCGCCACTGCTCACGCCTAGGCGCTACGCACATCTCTCTTTCTCTTTGCTCTACCAATCAGTTTCTCAAACTCCACCGAATACCGGAATGCTCTAAGCATGCGCTCATCGAAACTCAGACTAGTGTAGCGTAGGCGTGAGCAGCGGCGAGGGGAGGCGCGGTGCGCTTTTGTCCATCTCTGTTCTCGAATACAATAGCTGACTTCATCTATAATAAAAAATATTTTATTTTGGTTAATTTTAAAAATAAGGTTGCACCATAGACAAATTATTGATAGACGGAGATGAACCATGTGCCATAGCGTCGAGTTACGAATGAATTTAACATATTGTTAACTATGCCTTTTATTCTTATTTTTCTTTTCTTTTGCGTTTGTATATATTGAGGTATACTACAAACAACATATGACACAAACAATGAACATTTTTCATCTTATCAATGTATTCAAATACGAAGAAAAAAGAAGAAAAAAAATTATCATTTGCGTTCCAAACAATATTCAAATGAAATTGATTTAGAAGTTGATCCTAGCCGAGTATCAAATCTACAAAATTTTGAAAAAAATCAAATAACTTTAGAATTATTATGGGAAAAAATTTGGTTACAAATTCAACAATTGCATTCATTATTTTCTCAGTAAACTATTTAAAAAAAAAAGATTCTTTTTTAAAAGTAGTTTCTATATTTTTATTTAAAGGGAATTAAAACCTAGATTTTAGAAACTTTGTCAATTACCCTCATCTGATGAAATAATATTTCATTTAATTAGTGGTTCACTTTTTCTTCGTTTTATTTATCCAGCTATTTTATAACCAAATCAATTTGGTTTAACTCAAGATAAATTAATTTTAACAAAATAATAAAGATATTTTGTGGTTAAATAGAATACCTACATGAAAAATCATCAAGAAAATTAAGATTAATTGAGAAAACATTACAAAGTAATAGCCAATTTTTTTTTGTAAAATTTTTGATTTATATTTTTGGTCCAAAAGAATCTTATACGAAATTTATGAATGATTTGTTGAAAAAGAATTAGAAATATGCAAGGATTTTTAGCTAATATATCTGTAAGTAGAACAAGGAGATTAAACGATTATTTTAGAAATTTTTTGTAGATAATCGATCATGATTATTATGAATCACGATTTTCAACTATAAATCTTCGTGACAATAAATGTTATATTGATTTAGGTTAGTTTCTTATTAGTATTCAAGTAATTTATCTAAAAATTTTTGTTTTATTGTATGTCAAGAATATTCAATCCTTCATTCCATTCTCGCTGATCTATTCGAACAAATTGATTTAAATACTCGTCCAACATTAAATGAATTAATAAATATAAAACTATTTTATTCAACAAATAAAAAGGTACACAGAGATATGTACATCATCATTATCAGAATATTTTTATAATCGTTTAGATAAATAATCAAATGATAATCGTCAATCATCATACGGTAGCCAAATATCATTATCATTAACTGATATAACAGGTACAAAAAATGACTCATCACAAGCTTATCATTCAATATTAACATCACCAAGAATAACAACTGTTCAAAATCTTAGAAAAGAAAATATTCGTACACTATTGTCTTTCAAAAATTCACTTTTTAATAATTAGATCATTCATATTCAAACTGATTCAAATGATGATGATAATGGTCTAACACAGTCAAATCAAACCTAAAATAAGTCATCTAAAACTTTTTATTTTTTAAATAGTTTTTCTATTGAATTTCTATAATTTTCATCTCCTTCTTCTCAACCATCTCTTGTTCATTTAACTAGTCAACAATCTTTATAACAACGACTATTATTATTTTTTTAAGATAATGATTATATGACAAGTACACAAAGTTTAGCATCATCAAATATAAATATATCAAATATCAACAACTTATTATTGTATAAAAACAAATGATGAATTTAGCGAAACAACTAAAAGACAATCGATTTAACTATTTCAACAGTAGCAATCACTAAAAGTGGGTGTTAAGGCACTTAATCATACTTCATCGAATAGACTAGCAATTATTTATAAAATATTTGCATTTATTTTATTCTAGGATATTGTTCTTCTTCAACGTTCACTAATGTTAAATATCTATCAAGAAGGAAATTGTTGTCGAACTGGATCCGACAAACAAGCTGAACAGTAAGTAAAAATAAATGAACTAGATATATTCAATTACAATGGAAAAAATAAATAAATTTTCTTTTTTTTCTTATCTTTATCTAGTATAATAGTAATTTTGCATGATTTTCTTCTCTCTCTCTCTCTCATGTTGTGCTCACAAAAGACCGTTGTCTAACAAAATCAGGTGGATTATATATAAATTTATATTTAGAGCATGCTCCTTTTTGTGTACTCAAAAAGTGAGTACACTCTAGCATCGGTCAGTGTGTTCAGCCGGTCGGCCGTCCGTCCGTGTACACGATAAGTCTTCACAATTACATCCGATTGCGCTAAAATTTTGTGCACAGAATTGTCTCATCAATATCTCGGTCGAGTTCGAAGATGAGAAGGATCCGTCAAGAAATGGCTGAGTTATCGAAAAAATTGTCATTTTTCACCAGACCATCCCTGAGGGGGGATACAGGGATTTTTTCAAAAAAAATATTTTTCTCAGAATTATCCACAACATATATAAATCTCCTCAGTTTTTAACGCTGATTCCGAATCTGATATTAGTTTTGAACCAAACCGTAGTTTTCTAACGAAACATTGCCTGAAAAAAGTCTAAAAATGCACAAAAACTGCATCCAGAAACCAAATTGCCTATATATGTCTCAGATGACCAGTAGTTTTGGAGTTTCCCAAATGCCTGATTTTGTAGCTAGTCAAAAGGACCATCGAAAGGCAAAAACCTGAACTCGATAGCTATTAATATTGGTGATTTATTATGAAAATACTGATGCCTGTATCTATCATATATCTCTTATAGATTCGTGATGTTGCTTACGATCGTAATCCCGCTAAATACAAACACA